GAGAGAGAGAGAGAGAAGTACGAAACGGCCAAGCCCTTTTGGTGGACGTATCGCAGAACGGAAGCTGGCACTAAAGGGACACATTTACGTCTTCCCAGGAGTGCGTTAGCTAGCTGGCCAGCCGTCGGCCAAGCTGGCCGACCTACCCCCAATCCCCCTCAGCCACCTCCCCCTCTCCCCCGACGTCGACCAGGGCCGGTCAACCTCGCCGGTTCGTCTCAAACTCAAGCTCGATCCCTCTGTTAGCTCCTGCTAATCGAATCACCGCGTATATAAGCGTATGTCGAATTCGTGGAAACTCCGTTAGCCATTAGGAAAGCGGTAATCCCCCAATTATTGTGCAGTCATCAGGGAGCTCGGCGGCTGGGTGAGCCGGACGTTGAAGAGTCTCGCGAATTTCCGGCGAAGTAATGGTTGGCATTTCCGCGAAATTTTCTCGGACGGATTATACGGATTCGCGATAATTACTGACCTGGCGAAAGATGCATCTAATCTCGACAAGGATCAGAATAACAAATATACGAAATAACGCGATACAAAAGTATATGCAAACGGTAAGAATTATAAAATTCGTCGCGGTTAGCCTCCATTTATTTTCCACGTCATTCTGCAAGACGAAGAAGTAGTTCGTATCTTAATTTTTGCTTTTTGCGCGAGCGCGATAAGGGAATTATGATCGCTTTTAATCGCGTAAAGACGCTCGCTGCCGTTGCGTGTCTGTGATGTTCCCAGATTTATCTACCGAGAACTAGTCTATCCACGCTGTGGAGCTGACGGGAGATTAGTCAACTTAAGTCGGCTCAATCCCTCCGTCCCTTACCGAAGCTTTGGCTGTTACAAGGTAATCGAATTACAGAGAGCATATGTCGAATGCATAGGCGCCATTGTATCCGTGACTCGCGCGCCGAGAAGGTAGCTGAGAGCATTATCTATTCGCCACTAACCTGCGAGGAAACCCGATTTCTCTTATCCAGAATTTCGCGTTAGCGTATCATTTGCGTTTTGAATTGACAATATGAATATTATGAATTGCATTCATAATGGGAAACGGTAAACAAAACGGTTAACAAAAGCGGTCTAATAATCGCTTTCGACGATTCGGAAGAAAATTAAATTCGCAAACCGTCGCAAAATGGGTCATCGCCGTCGTGTGTGTGTGTGTGTGTGTGTGTGTGTGTGTGTGTGTCGAAGCTTTCAATTCTGTTTGAAATATTCGCAAAGAGAATTGGATACGCTGAAAACACTTCCGATCTAAATGCATCGACGTTGTTTCGAGGCAACTCACGGGGTTCTCCGAGCATAAAAGCCATGCTTCCCCCTCTGAGGTCAATTCTACTTTGTACTTATCCCCTCGAAGCGGGAACCACCTCTGTTCAGAGACATCGCTTGAACGCCGTAATTCAAAGTTTCTTGTAAAGTCTTCTTAAATCCTTCTGTCTCGAATCTATAGCGCCATTTGAGAACCTTATCCTACGAATTTCCTGCCAGTCAAAACGAGCAATCTCTAGCGCGAAGGGTAGCCACCCCTTTTTATCGCATGATAGGACGCCTATTAGGGTCTACGGATCACCGAGTATCGTCTTTATATCGGATCTAGACGACCCTAAACGCAAGTCAATCGTTTTAAAACGAAAAAAAATAATTTAAGATACAAGTTTCAATCAGGGTAAATGTCAAATTACAAGGAATCTTACTTGCCGTGCAAAAATATGAAATATGAAATATTTTAAGGCTCAGTTTTCTCACTGCAGTCATATTAAATTAAATTATGACGTCAGAAGCAAGAAATGACATGCAAAAAGTTTCTCGTGACGTAACGTCACATAACGCATGTCGCGCCGCGAGAAAACCAAGCCTTAATCAATTTGGCACTCATCACAAACAAGTAAATGTAACTCACCGCTGTCGAGGCTGTTCTGATTTTCTAGATCCGGGCCTTGGACGGAAGTCGACCTACCATCCTGCAGGTAATCTGAAACAATAAACCTCTCACGATTAGTACAGATATTCTTAATAACTTTCTTAATTCGTTCAAATCAAAGATAATTAATGCAGTAAAAAGGCGACACTTCGAATACTTCGTTTGGAAAAGTTCGCAGCGCGTCCTCGTCCGAATCTCGAGAGAGGATCTAAATCTCTGGCGAAGGAAAACGCACGCATTTAAGAATTAAGATTTGGATACGACGAAGGTGGTCTTCGTGGACGGCTATATCATTTTCGGCGGTGTATCGCTCGTCCCCGCCGTTAGATCCGCATGGATCCGCCGTAATTCGCTCTCGCAGGCCGGGCCCTTAATAGGGATTCCGCATTGAAATTTCATGGGATTTCGGGCGATCGAGCGAAACGAGCTTGGAGATACGTCGCGCGCGGCCTATGCCGGCGCCGCAGATGATGCCGCTTGCGCGCGGACGCGAATAATACGGGAAAGGGTGGAAAAGAGCGGCGCGCGGTGTTCCCGCGGGAGCCATACCCCGGTGATATTGGCTCCCACAGCCCATTCCTGCGCATAGGAGACCGAACCGCCTTGGACCAACGTATACCCGTATATACGCGCGCGAGCACACACAAACGCGTACGTAACACGCGGCAGGAAGACCGGCCAAAATTCAAATTTCCCATCGGGATACGCGCGCGACTTTAAGCACAACTTGCGGGGAAACAACCGCGGCGGCCGAAGCGCGCCGGTGTGCTCGCATCGATAATCGAACTTTACGGCGTCGATACCACCGGAAAAAAAAAAAAATTACGCCGCGCATCTTCGCGCGACGGTGATGGCTCGCCGGCGCGGTTTTTATCGCGCGTTTTCATTAGCGCGCGTCGATGATGAAATATTCGTGCATTCCGCACGTACTTCTCTCATGTCGGAGGATTAAATTTTATCAGACGTCGATAATATCGAAACGGAGCGTAGGAGCAAACCGAGCGTATTCTCGCACTTAATTATTCGAGTGAGAAAATCACGGTTAATGAGAAGATATGGACAGCGACATGAACTGTACTCTTGTTCTCATCGATGAGAGAGGGAGAGAGAAGGAGAAGGAGACACAATTGTGATTACGTCGCATTTGGAATCAACAATTAAATTTCCTAAAGACACTCACGAGTCGCAATCCTCGGTTAATTCCTCCTTCGTGCCGCTTCTGCAACGCGAATAACTCACTGATAAGACGATACCGACGAGGAATTCCGCGGCGCGGAATAAAACGTTAAGACCGCGACGGAACGAAAAGCCGCGGCACTCAAGCTGCTGCGGAATTATCATCGCTCGTAAGTCACGGTGCGAACATTGCAGTTGCAACTGCGGCGCAGCGGCGCGCGCGGTTCGCGGCGCTTCGGGGACGAGATAACTCGTATAAATAACCCGGAAGTCCGCGGTGCACAATAGTCCTTTTTTTTTACGAGTATGACTTTTGGGAGTTCCAAGGCTGCACGCTAGGGACGCCGCGTTGGTAATCAGTTCGTCGTTGTTACCGAAATGCACCGAGCAAAGCAGAAAAAAAGAGAGGAGAGAAAAAGAAAAGAGAAAAAAGACCGTCTCTCCCTCTCTCTCTTTCTCTCTCTATCCATGCATTTTCTTTTTATTCACTTCTAGGCACACAATCGCGAATTTTTGCGGCGCGTCCTAAATTGTACGCCGAATATTTAATTCGCACCGTGGATCGCGT